CCCCCCCAGAACCTCCGCCCCATCCAACCACTCCCTGTCCCCTGACTGCCCCCCGGGACCTCCTGCCCCTTATCCAACCCTCCCTCTCCCCGCCCCCTTACCAGGCCGCTCAGAGTGGCAGGACTGGCTTATTGGAAAGCCTGGGAGGTGGGCGGGCACAAGCACCATCGTCTCATCCACACATTGAGACCCTGCAGTTCTGCCTGTCTAACTGGCCCTGCATTTGGAACTGGAAGCATTTCAGAGAATGCTACCGTGGAGTTCCTGGACTTCAGTCTCTTACCTAGCAGCCTAAATTTTACCTCCAGGACTTAGAAGACGCTAGAGCTAAAAGCTACAGAAATACTATAAAAGCTAACATAGAAATCACTGAAAACTAACAATTAAGAACTAACAATGATGAACTAACAATGCACAAGCTGCACTTGTATTGTCCCCCCCCTTAATCTACTCAACTTTCACCAGCATTATTTTCGCACATAATTTAGGTGAAACATTGGACTTTAACTCAGTCAGAATAAAGTCTTTTCATTCTAAAATCTCAATTTGGGGGCGGGGAGGGTGTCACTTTTTATATAGAGGCCTTTCTGCTCTTGGAGTAATGACTTCTGATCACATTGAGATGTCTTTAATTTGTGTCTAATCCAAACATGCATGTATACTGTTCGAGCACTTTTGTCTGTGGACTCAAGGTATTTTACACATATATTAGGAGGCCCAAATGGGTCTTAGAACTATACTTTGCTGTTGTGTAGGCAAGGTCTAAGAGTATCAAAGTGTCACTGTACCTTAAGAAATATAAACTGTCATTGGAAACATACAAGCTGTAAGTCATTTACATTTTTGTACTTTTCATTGTCTGTTTCTTTATGAAAATCGATAAACGTTTAATCTAATCTATGTATACTGAAAGAAAGAAATGCTGTCCATTCATTCCTGTTGGGCTGTCCCTATACTCATATTGTACATACTCTCATAGTTTTAAGTGGGTTGTATTAATTTTATTAGGAAATAATCTATTTTCACAGCTGAGCACAGTAGGTAAGTCTGTAAAAATGCGGATACACTCTTTGAGCATGCAAATTGAGTAAAATGAGCTTGCAAATGGATACTGGGGGCCTACAGTTACTTCATGTTTTTAAGGAAAAAGGTGTGATAGGTATATCCATATTTTTGTGTGTACATCCTGTGTGCCCAGCTGTGAGAATGTGTCCATAAAGGCCAAATTCCACACTTGGCTGTGCAAGGTTGTCACCTATTCAAGGCCAATATTAGCCATAAACCTGTACATCAGAGGGGAGACTTTATCCCTAATTAGTTTTCATTCATACTTCCGTCTACCTTTGCTTTATAGTTTTAGGAATGATTGACAATGTTTTGCTCTCTTTGATGGGTAAGATTTGTTCTTGTAATAAACTTTTTGTCCATTTCAGGGTCAAAGTTACTGATCTCATGGCAACTGATGTTTCTAATAGTCCAAGTCTGTGACTTTGCCCAGACGTCATTCAGTTCTGGCAAGTGGAGTGAACTTAGGATGTCAGCCAAGACTTTTTGGGGGATTCTTGCTCTGCTCCGAATTTTCTGGTGTCTTCTTCCTCAGACAGGTTACCTTCATCCTGATGAATTCTTCCAATCACCTGAGGTCATGGCAGGTAAATTTTCCTGCATTTGTGCATGGTTATTTTTAGAAACCCAGTTTATATTAATTCTCTACATTCTAGGGGTTTAAGCAGCAAACATTACATTATTCACATTATCAGATGTAAAAAGGCAGCATTGTTGAGCAGTTGGCTGTCCCATTGACAGGCAGTGTGACTCTGACCAGGTTACTGAACCTCTCTGCTTCAGTTTTCCCATCTGTAACATTAGAATAATATAGTACTTGCTACCTCACCAGGACAATATACTCTGAGGCTAAAATTATTAATGTTTATAAAGCATGTAATTGTACAGCTGGATTCTGATTGGATTATTGTGCTATTCTGATTATGTGAGAATATACACAAACACAACAGTCCATAGATGGCCCCCCCTGTACTGGTCTTCAATCTATAAACAGCAAATCCGCGTATTGCTCCTAAAACCTACAAAGCGGAGCAGAGGATCTGGTCCAAGAGGTGAATATAGCTGAACTGCTTGATAATAGTGACCATAATGTAATTTAATTTAAAATCCTTGTGGGGGGCAAAATACCAAAGAAGCCCATCACTGTAGCATTTAACTTAAAAAATGGGAATTACATAAAAATGAGGAAGCTAGTTAAACAGAAATCAAAAGGAATAGTCACAAGAATGAAATTCCAGGAAGCTGCATGGAAACTCTTTAAAAACACCATAAAAAGGGGTCAAATTAAATGTATACTCCAGATTTAAAAAAAAAAGGACCAAAGGAAAATGCTGTCATGGCCAAACAACAGAATAAAAGAGGCAGTTAGAGGCAAAAGAGCATCCCTTAAAAATTGAAAGTCAAATCCTACTGAGGAAAATAGAAAGGACCACAAACTCTGGCAAGTCAAGTGTAAAAGTATAATTACGCAGGGCAAAAATGAATTTGAAGAGCAATTAGCAAAAGACACATAAACTAATAGACAAAAAAAAATAAAAATTAAATACATCACAAGCAGGAAACCTGCCAAACAATCAGTGGGGCCACTGGACAATCCAGGTACTAAAGGAGCACTCAAGGAAGATATGGCCATTGCAGAGAAGCTAAATGAATTATTTGCATCTGTCTGTCCAATGCAGAGGGTGTGGGAGAGATTCCCACACCTGAGCCATTCTTTTTAGGTGAAAGATCTGAGGAACTGTCCCAGATTGAGTTGTTGATAGAGGAGGTTTTGGAACAAATAGATAAATTAAACATTAATAAGTCATCAGGACCAGATGGTATTCATCCAAGAGTTCTGAACGAACTCACATATGTAATTGCAGAGCTACTAACTGTGGAATGTAAACCAATGGCCTAAAACAGCTTCTGTACCAGATGACTGGAGGATAGCCAATGTGATGCCAATTTTTAAAAAAGGCCCCAAAGGCGATCCTGACTATTACAGACTGGTTAACCTAACTTCAGTATCAGGCAAATTGATTGAAACTATAGTGAAGAACAGAATTATCAGATGCATAGACAAACATGGTTTGTTGGGAAAGAGTCAGTATGGCTTATGTAAGGGAAATCATGCCTCACCAATCTATTAGAATTCTTAGAGAGGTTCAACAAACATATGGAAAGGGGTGATACAGTAGTGTAGTGGGGTGGCTGCCCCACTCCTGGATAAAAGGGATTAAAAGCAGTGAGAGCAGCTGAGTAAGTAGCTGACCACAGGTGTGGCCAGCTCAATCAGGGCCCAGCTGGCCCTGATAAGAGGGCTGTGGGCCAGAAGCTGTAGGAGTCTTACTCTAGCCCTGGAGTGGGAAGGGTTAGCTGCCTGGGAGCAAGGTACTTGAAGCAGAGCAGAGCAGAGCAGTGCAGGGGAAGGGCAAAGGCAAAGGCAAAGGGCAAAGGCAGCTTGTTGAAGGCCTGTGAAGGTACTGGGGTTACAGAGGTGCAGCCTGGGAATAGGCAGAGGCAGCAGGTCCTAACCCCTTGCCAATGATGAGTGGCCATTACAGACTGCAGTCTGCCCCAGTGAGCGGGGGCTAGATGATGACTGGCAGTAGCCTCTGAGGCAAGGTGGGTTTAGAGGGTTGGGGGTTCCCCTGGGAGGGGAGACCCAGAGTGTGGGGGGTACTGTGGTGGGCAGAACCATGAGGAAAAGGGCACTGGGGTCCAGGAGGGACATGGGGGCCAGTGGCAGGTGAGACACCGGCAAGTAGGAGGCGCTCTGTATGCTGGAGAGCTAATTCACAGATGACCAGCAGGAGGCGCCGTGCCGGTGAGTCTTCACTTCTCTACAAGTAGATATAGTGTACATGGACATTCAGAAAGCCTTTGACAAGATCCTTCACCAAATGGTGTTAAGCAAAATAAGCAGTCATGGGAAAAGAGGGAAAGTCATCTCATGGATCAGTAACTGGTTAAAAGACAGGAAACAAAGCATAGGAATAAATGGTCCATATTCAGAATGGAGAGCGGTGAATAGCAGTGTCCTCCAGTGATCTGTACTGTTCAACATATTTATAAATGATCTGGAAAAAGGAGTAAATAGTGAGGTGGCAAAGATTGCAGATGATACAGTATAGTTAAGTCTAAAGCAGACTGCAAAGAGTAACAATGGGGATCTCACAAAACTGGGTTTATGGGTAACAAAATGGCAGATGAAATTTAAGGTTGATAAATGCAAAGTAATGCACATTGGAAAATATAATCCCAACTCTAAATACAAAATGATGTGATCTAAATTAGCAGTTACCACTCAAGAGAGAGATCTTGAAGTCATTGTGGATAGTTCTCTGAAAACATCTGCTTAATGTGCAGCGAAAGTCTAAAAAGCTAACAGAATGTTAGACACCATTAGGAAAGGGATGGATAATAAGATAGAAAAGATCATAGTGCCACTATATAAATCCATTTTATGCCCACACCTTTAATACAGTGTGCTGTTCTGGTTCCCTCCACCCCCATCTCAAAAAAGATATACTGGAAATGGATAAGATGCAGAGAAGGGCAACAAAAATGATTAGGCGTATGGAACAGCTTGCCAGAGAGATTAAAAAGACTGTGACTATTCAGCTGGGAAAAGAGAAGACTAAGGGGGGAGAGGGTATGGTAGAAGTCCATAGAATTGTGAATGGTCTAGAGAAAGTGAATAAGGAAGTGTTATTTACCCCTTCACATGACACAAGAACCTAATAAAATTAATAGGCAGGAGGTGTAAAACAAACAAAAGGAAGTAATTCTTCACACAACGCACAGCTATTGGGCTTGATGCAGCAAATACTGAGTGAAATTCTATATACTTTGTTAAGCAAGTGGTCAGATTAGGTGATCACAGTGGTCCCTTCTGGCCTTAAAAATCTCTGAATTCTTCAGGCTCTCTGTATGCAGAACACCTATTGAAGCTAATGGATATTCTGTAGCATTGGACCCTAATTCTATTATCTAGGAATTATAATTGATTAATAACAAAGCTATGTCTAGTATATTTATATAAAATGGGCAGGTTGTTTGAAAATATTTTGAGAACCGAACTTTCCATTTGAACATTTTTAAATTAATAATACTTAGCCTTCATATAATAATTTTCATCTACAAAAAGCACTATACAAGTACTAACGAATCCTCACAACCCCCATGTAAGGTGGGTTCTGTATGTACACCTCTACCCTGATATAAGGCATTTGATACGGTCTCGCATGATATTCTTATCGATAAACTAGGCAAATACAATTTAGGTGGGGCTATTATAAGGTGGGTGCATAACTGGCTGGATAACCGTACTCAGAGAGTTGTTATTAATGGTTCCCAATCCTGCTGGAAAGGCATAACGAGTGAGGTTCCACAGGGATCTGTTTTGGGACCGGCTCTGTTCAATATCTTCATTAACGACTTAGATATTGGCATAGAAAGTACACTTATTAAGTTTGCGGATGATACCAAACTGGGAGGGATTGCAACTGCTTTGGAGGACAGGGTCATAATTCAAAATGATCTGGACAAATTGGAGAAATGGTCTGAGTTAAACAGGATGAAGTTTAACAAAGACAAATGCAAAGTGCTCCACTGAAGAAGAAAAAATCAGTTTCACACATACAGAATGGGAAGAGACTGTCTAGGAAGGAGTACGGCAGAAAGGGATCTAGGGGTTATAGTGGACCACAAGCTAAATATGAGTCAACAGTGTGATGCTGTTGCAAAAAAAGCAAACATAATTCTGGGATGTATTAACAGGTGTGTTGTGAGCAAGACATGAGAAGTCATTCTTCCGCTCTACTCTGCTCTGGTTAGGCCTCAGCTGGAGTATTGTGTCCAGTTTTGGGCACCGCATTTCAAGAAAGATGTGGAGAAATTGGAAAGGGTCCAGAGAAAAGCAACAAGAATGATTAAAGGTCTTGAGAACATGACCTATGAAGGAAGGCTGAAAGAATTGGGTTTGTTTAGTTTGGAAAAGAGAAGACTGAGAGGGGACATGATAGCAGTTTTCAGGTATCTAAAAGGGTGTTATAAGGAGGAGGGAGAAAACTTGTTCACCTTAGCCTCTAAGGATAGAACAAGAAGCAATGGGCTTAAACGGCAGCAAGGGAGGTCTAGGTTGGACATTAGGAAAAAGTTCCTAACTGTCAGGGTGGTTAAACACTGGAATAAATTGCCTAAGGAGGTTGTGGAATCTCCATCTCTGGAGATATTTAAGAGTAGGTTAGATAAATGTCTATCAGGGATGGTCTAGACAGTATTTGGTCCTGCCATGCGGGCAGGGGACTGGACTCGATGACCTCTCGAGGTCCCTTCCAGTCCTAGAATCTATGAATCTATGAATAACGCTGTCCTCGGGAGCCAAAAAATCTTACCGCATTATAGGTGAAACCGCGTTATATCGAACTTGCTTTGATCCGCCGGAGTGCGCAGCCCCGCCCCCCCTGGAATGCTGCTTTACCGCATTGTATCCGAATTCGTGTTATATCTGGTCACGTTATATCGGGGTAGAGGTGTATTATAATTAAGGATATGATTTTTCCATGGTGGTCACGGATTCTGTGACTTTAACAGACCTCTGTGAGTTCTTCAGCTTCTGCTCTGGCTACAGGAGCAGCCCCCACCGCAGGAACAGCAGCCGGGGCTGGAACAGTGGCAGCCCTTAAGGCTGGAGCAGCGGCAGGGGGCTGGGGAGCCCCCAGGGCCAGAGCAGTAGCCAGGACTGGAGCAGCCCGAGCAGTCAGGGCTGGGTCAGTCCCCAGGGCTGGAGCAGCAGCTGCAGCCGGAGCAGCCCCCATGGCCGGAGCAGGCCCTAAGGCTGAAGCAGCCCCCACAACCAGAGCAGCTGCCAGGGCTGGAGCAGCTCAGATGGTAGACGTTTTTATTTTGGAAACAGGAAGATCTGATTTCTCTTTCTGTTCTCACTATGAAGTTCTAAATAGCCATGGTGGACAACATAATAACTACTCTGAAGTCCTAGATGGTTATAGTTTTGTTACAGTATTATTGTCCACTAAACCATGCTGCTTCTCATAGCAAACTGTATTTTTAATGCATGTATACTGGTCAATTTGCCAAAATGTGTCATCTGCTTTTCTTCTCCCTCCACAGGAGATATTTTAGACCTACAAGTCTATTATCCCTGGGAATTCCTTTCCAGTTCTCCTTGTAGAACAGTTGTGTTCCCATTAATTACATCTGGCATTACCTACTGGATGATCAAGTCTTTGCAACAGCTGGGCATGTGGTCAAATGGCATCAACAGCTACACCCTTCTTGTGTCACCTCGCCTTCTCCTCACCACCTTTTCTTTCATACTTGACTATAGCGTGTATCGGCTAGCTCCTTTCTGGGGTGCAGATCGGTGGAACGCCCTGGTTCTGCTTGCTGGGTCCTATGTCACACTAGTATTTTACACAAGAACATTTACTAACACACTTGAAGGACTTCTGTTTGCCCTGCTGATGGTACTAGTATCTCCAAAAGCAGTTGGTTATGGAACAGACATCAACCAGGTGAAACCTACCAGTAGCAGTCTCATAGGGATTATAACAGTTGCTGGATTTTTCAACAGGCCAACTTTTCTGGCATTTGCTTTAATGCCACTGCTTTACTGGGCAGTTTTAAATGCCACTTCTCAGCACAGCATTAAAACTATTGCAAACCACCTCTTGAAGCTTGTTTCAAGCACAGCTTTCACTGCCATCATCTTCACAGCAGCTGACACTTTATATTTTACCTCCATTGGATCAGAGATTAGCCTATACAGCATTAAAAAGAATGGCCTGTTAAGCACCATAGCTCAAATAAATCAGAATGTAATAGTGACCCCTTTTAATTTTCTCCGCTATAATCTTAATCCCCATAATCTTGCACAGCATGGGATTCACCCAAGATTAACTCATTTTGCAGTCAATGGTATAATGCTCTTTGGGATCCTGCACATTCTGGCTATCAGTGTTGGTTTAAAAATGCTGAAAATAAACATCCATCAATTATCATGGATCAGACTACATAATCATAGGTCACCTACAATGTTGGTGCTTGCCAAGGGCAATCCAACATTATTATTATTCTATTTTGTTCCTTTGGCATTCCTTTCCCTGTTCAACCACCAAGAACCTCGATTCCTCATTCCTCTTATTTTACCACTAGTCCTATTGATCGCACCGCAGAATAGAACCCTGAAGTGGAAACCCATCATTATTATTTTCAATGTTCTTGGTGCCCTTTTGTTTGGGTGCTTACACCAGGGAGGGCTGATCCCATGCCTGTCTCATTTAGAACAGCTCATACATTCTACAGAGTCCCTGAACCATCCAGCACACTATACTCTACTCTTTGCTCACACCTATATGCCTCCCAGGTTTCTGCTCAGTATCAATAAGAGAGACCCACTAGTAGAAATAATTGATATGGCTGGAACTGAAGAAAACACCCTCTGCCAAACTTTGGGACAATTAGCAAACAAGATTGCCTGTGGGACTAGAGAGACTGATAAAGAAAGAACTTGTCATTTTTTTGTTATAACCCCCGGTACAGTCAGAACAGCAATACAAAAATGTGGGGTTCTGTTCAAGAATGAGACATTAATATTTCCACACTTGACAATGGAAGATCCACCACAAATATCCTTTCTATTCAGTGAAAAATGGAGAAGTCAGTTAGGACTATACATCCTTCAGATAGACAGAAATGAACAGAGCATTTAGTTATTAGAGGATTTATGTTTCACTTTTTAATTTTATTTAGTTCTGGTGAAAGTTGCTCGATCAACAGTCCTGGAGATTGATGTTCTCTCCCTTTATTCACAGACACAAGTACAGCACAAGCAGTGAGAGTGCAAACTTCCCCATATTGTCCCCCCACTATTACCCTCACCAGTGTTCCTCAGCCCTATTCTGGATGAATGCTATCTAAGTGTGAGGTCGTTCGATCTCCAGCATTGTTTTTACACCAGGATAATTTTCCTGCTGGGAGAGGACAAAATCAGAGAAAAAAGGCTGAAGTTCTCTCCACAAAACTTTCCAGATGGTTTTGGGTCAGTTCTTCTTGTGTCAGGTATATTGTTTTGTTTTTTTATTTCTTTTATTATATCTCTTTGGATTATACTTTTTATTTATATGCATTAATGCTGCAGTTAAGCATTCAGGGCCTCCTCCCAGTAGTTACAGCAGGCTCCAGTCATGATATAGAATTCATCTTTATGAGCACCTCCGTTACAGGATGGTGCATGATCAGATATATCCTCTCAAGGGATTGTATCATGTCCTTGAAAAGGGAGTGGGATTAGTCATTGTCTAGTAATGTCTAATGTTTTATCACTAGCGAGTCAGATCCTAGGAATGGAAGCCCCAGGTTCAATCCCCAAACCAGCCACTGCTTAGTCTTACTGTTCATTTATCTTTTCCTGCTACAAGGCCATTTATTTGTGGAAACAGTATATTTTAAATTGCCTTTCTATTAGGAGTGGATCTGAACCTGAACCCATAGATCCCTGAACTACAGCGAGGGGAATTGCAGAAGTTGAACCAAGATCTGGACAGAAATTTCACAGGTGACCCCCTTTGGATATAGGAGTTTGGTTCTGGCCATTATGGACAAACACTTCCAGACTTTGGGGAAATATTAATCCTGATCCAAACCTTATATGTCAAGCCTGTCTCTTTCAGATGAACCTGCCAATGATAAATGGGACTTGTTCAAATGCCAGTCATACTACACAAAGGGCATGGTACATACAGTTTCAGATCTTAAATGCCAATTTTACAAGCAGACCAAATAATGGACTATGAAGATAGTTTATGAGGCCAAGTTGTAAAAGGAAATCAAGACCAAGTCCCAATATGAAGAATTTATCATTGTTTGCCAGATTTCACATAAATTCACAGATGATGATGTCCATGCTTGGCATTCTGATCAATGTAAATAGTTTTTGGTCTCTGCAAAGCACTTTATACTAGGGGGGGAAGCTGTTTTTCCTAATTGTGGAAATGCATGTAGGTTATGTGTATTTGTTTGCTTTGCTGTTTTATGTAACATTAGAAGAAGTTATGAAAAGACCTTGATACTGTACCAAATGTATTTTTCAGGTTAATTCTATTGTTTTCTATGCTGCTACACATTTCTGGAAAGAATCTTGTTCCATGTGTTTTGTGTTATAGTTGGGGGGGTGTTGTACTGACTTTTCAGAACCATGTTTAATATTTCAGACCTTCCTTGGTGTTCATAGCAGAATTCAGTGAAGGCACATAGTAAAGAACTGAACTTCTTTTTTATATCTTGGAACGTATATAACCTCCATCACCATAGTATCTGAAAGTCTTATAGCTCTCATTTGATGTAGTGAACTATTATTCTCCATGGTACACTGAGATCGTGTGGCTTTTCTATGGTCACAGAGGCAGCCTATGGCAGATCCAAGAACAGAACCTGGCTCTCCTGAGTGCCAATCCATCTCCTTAATCTCAAACCCATCTTTCCTCTCTTACCAGGTAGATCTTTGCTGTTTATACGTGGGCCCGTATACCTTGCATATCTAAAATGCCTACTGACATCAAGTGGAGTTTTTAGGTGTGCAAAGGATGCAGGATATGCCTCTATGTGTGTCAGATTTAATCTTATTTCAATAGCACTCTTCATCCTCAAGCATACTTAATTTGTATAACATTTTGTATACACACATGAAATTCAGCTACTACTGTAATGGACCATGATTACTCTTCAGCACACAGCAACATTACACAAATTAAAAATAGGCAGTGAGAACTACCATCTCCAACTGAAACTGCATGGGGAGAAATGAGGTTAATAGACCTCTGTATTATGATGTATTGCCCATTAAGATAGTAACATACCGTTTTAGATCATTCTTTCAAATAGCACATTCTGAGGGCTATTTTAATACTGAAGTTTCTTTCTGCCCCCACCACAGCCAGGAACTTGCTCTGGCAAGTTATTTAATCTTTCTGTGACTCATTTTACCTATCTGTAAAGTGGGGTTAATACTTACCCCACCCAACAGTGTAAAGTTCTTTGAGATCTTCAGATGAAAGGGGCATTATAAATGCAAAGTATTACTACTGTATATAAGATGCCTGCTGTGACAGTTATGGCAATTTACTGCAATATCTTTGGAAGATCTTACTGTATTAAGTATATGTAATATTGTGGGCCAGACACTGTATGTAATTCCATGGGGGTGGGCGAACACAGCTTCTCCAGGAACTAAGAACAGTGGGGGTGATTTGGAAAATTTACTCAGGTTGTAACATCTCCAGAGTTACCACCACTTGGAGAGGCTCACATATATTGGTTCAAACTGGATTCTCTAGAGACCAACAGACAAAGTGTAGACTTTTAGATAAATAGCCTGAATTTAAACTGACTCGGGGCCTTCTTTCTGATCCAGCAAACTGATTGTGGGGAAAGAACAATTGCATTCTGCCAATAAATCGCATATCTTATTTTACGCTTTCATGCATATTGTGGGGATAATTATGACAATAAAAGAATTAAAGTTAGCTTAAGTCTGGTTAAGAAAATAATATACACCTCTACCCCGATATAACGTGACCCAATATAACACGAATTCAGATATAACGCGGTAAAGCAGCGCTTTGAGGGGTGGGGCTGGGGCTGGGTGCTCCAGCGGATCAAAGCAAGTTCGATATAATGCGGTTTCACCTATAACGCAGTAAGATTTTTTGGCTCCCGAGGACAGTGTTATATCAGGGTAGAGGCCATGAGAATAAGTAGTATTACTTATTGCTTGTAGTGTGGGAAGGATGTTTGGTTCCAAAAGTAACCAATAAAATAAAGAGCTACAGTAACAAACAAATAAAAACTGTCTTAAAAGAAACAAGCACGAACCTTCCCACCATTCTGCTGATAAGCAAGGAGTGGGGAGGAGATAAGAAGGGAAGGTCTTGGAGGAAGGAAAATAGCAAGGATAAACTGCTTCAAATGGGATTTTTGCTCAAGATAGCAAATTAGCTGAAGGATATAAAGAGAGCCATGAATCTGAAGGTTGGTTGTGAGACCCTGCCTGATCATGCTGGAGTACATAGATTAGATGTTTTTTACTTAGGTCTGGTGTGTCTCTAAGTAAGTATACTGATCAGATGCTTACAACTACTTTGTTACTGTACTGGGTGTAGTGACTGCTTATTTTTAGGTTGTTAGGCATGTTTAGAGCAATTGTATAAAATACCATTTGGCCTATGGACTTAATAAAGGAATTATAGTTAAATTAATGTCTGGTGGTCTCCCATATTATTAATTTCAAATATTATTGATAATTCCAACACATATTCTGGAAGATTGTGCAATGGGCACATTTTACAACTTTCAAAAGACACTGTTACTTATGTTATTGGGGCAGGACTGTCTTTTACTAGATGTCTATCTAGACTCTAGCACAATGTTACCCCAACCATGTTTTGCATATTTGAGAGGGAGGAAAAAAGGTATTGTGACGGGTTCAGTCACAGAGACTCCCTTGGGACTGTCACTTGATTTGCTGAAACTACCTCTGAGCCTCCCTACCAGCTTGGGACTCCAGAACCCTGCCTTGTTGAGCCAGACACGCTAGCCGGCTTCAACATAGACCCAGGTCTGGTCCACACCCCCAAAGCTGCAGACTAACCAAAAACTGCTCAGCAGGTCACCTCTCCAGCACCCAGACACCCAATGGAATCCAAACCCCAAATCCGTTTAAAGCTTATACAGGGTAAACTCATGAATTGTCCGTCCTCTATAACACTGATAGAGAGATATGGCCAGCTGTTTGCTCCCCCAGGTATTAATCACTTACTCTGGGTTTGTTAATAAACAAAAGTGATTTTATTAAGTATAAAAAGTAGGATTTAAGTGGTTTCAAGTGATAACAGACAGAACAAAGTAAGTTACCAGGAAAAATAAAACACGCAAGTCCAAGCCTAATATATTAAGAAACTGAATACAGGTAATTATCACCCTCAGAGATGTTCCAATAAGCTTCTTTCACAGACTAGACTCCTTCCTAGTCTGGGCCCAGTCTTTTCCTCTGGTACAGTCCTTGTTCCAGCTCAGGTGGTAACTAGGGGATTTCTCATGACTGGATGCCTTTGTTCTGTTCCACCCCCTTTTATCTTTGGCATAAGGTGGGAATCTTTTGTCTCTCGGGGTCCTCAACCCTCCTAAATGGAAAAGCACCAGGTTTAAGATGGATTCCAATACAAGGTGACATGATCAGATGTCATTGTAAGACCTCATTCTTCATTACCCACAGGCTGGCCCCTACCTCCACAAGAAGGCTTGCAGGTACATAAACCATCTACAGCCAATTGTCCTAGTCAATGGTTGCCATCAAGATTCTAAACCACCATTAACAGCCCACACTTGGCATAATTACAGTAGGACCTCAGAGTTAACTTCATATTTGTAGTTTTAGATACAAGAATGATACATACATACAAATAGGATGAACACACTCAGTAGATTATAAGCTTTGTAATGATACCTTACAAGAGACCTTTTGCATAAATCATATTCCAGTTACATTATATTTACACTCATAAGCATATTTCCATAAACATATGGAGTGCAAGATCACAGGTATATTCACCAATAAGCTTTTTCACTTGTATTTCTCTATGTTACTAAAAACCAATTCACATCTAAGAATGTGTCAAAACTAATCTGTTTGTCTAAGGAACAAATTCTGACATAGCTACTCAGAACTCAACAGGACTGAACTGGAAGCTTGGACTTGGTTAAGCCTGCAGGATTGGTCTTATATGGACATTAGTATGAAATAGATAATTATGCTGCTACTAAAATTAAACTGGACTTGAATAGCAGCCCAAGGTGCTCCAAGACTATGGTGATGAGGGTAGTAGGAAAACTAGAAAAAAAGAGAATGCATCTTCTTGAGATGGAAGCTTAAAAGATCTCTTAAAAGACAAGAAATGTGCAGTGAGTGATAATAATAACCAAATTATATAAAATGACACAATTCAAAGAGGAAACTAATGCCTACTAGTCACTGTGTTTTAAAGCTTGAGGCTGACACTTACAGGCCCTTCCCACACTAGGATGAACACTATGAAAGCTATTACCAGGTTTAAACACATTTATTACTAGCAGATTTCTAGTGCAGTTTTCCTTGTGGTCAGTTTTTTTATTTTAATTTTTCCAGGGAATCACTTTATAAAGCAGTCCTCTAACACTCTACCGGGGTGTCAGTAAGCAATGTGACCAGGATGCATTAAACCAGAGATGTGTCACAATTTTTCAAGCACAAGGCAGGTGACATGTCAAGTGACTATAGTTAACCTGAAGTCTAGCTGAAAGGTGTGACTTTTCTGCTTCAATAAAAATTAATGTTATAGTGATTTCTGTATGCATATCAAGATCTTTGCGTTATTGTTTATTTGTATTACCATAATGCCTTAGAATGCCAAAGAGGAATCAGGTCTCCATTTTGTTAGACAGAATATAGAAAGATAAACAATATAGGTCCTACCCTAGAAAGCTTGTAGTTTAGGTGTCAAACGGAATGTGACATATGGACAAACGGTGTGGGTAGTTGGGAAGATGTTATTTGCCTAACCAATACTAGATGGGAATGATTTGTAAGCAAAGTTATGTTTTAAGGAGGGATTTAAAGGATAAGGTGACAGCTTTGTCAAGTTTGAAAGATTTTTTTCCCCATGCATTGATGGTGGTGTAATAATTGGGGCCGAGCCCTAGCAGACCTACTTTAATTGTTAGCCTAGCTGGCGAAAAGTGGGTAAAGGTTCATGAATTGTCACAATGAGCTGTTATATAAAATTGTTTAAGAAAAGATGTAAGAAGGTGACAGACTGAATTAATTTAAACATAAAAGGTTTACTGACACCACTCAAGGACCATGTTAGGATTATGACTAGTAAACAAGAAGCGGTAAGGACCAGACATTAGGCCTAGTTGGCTGGCAATGTAAGTGGATGGACCATTCCCACATTGCCTTTTTGCAGCCTTTAAAAAGAGACTTTGGGAGAGAAAAAGGAAACTTTTTTTTACCATGGCTGTCCTATCTCTTTCTCTCTTGGCTTTTCACCTGAGCCTGACAACTGCATGGCACCAGCCTGGCAAGATGAGACAGGCTATCCAGCTGTGCTCAGCCTGAGAAGGACCAGTGAAGAAGAAGATGATGTCTCTGGAGAGGTGAGTTGGGATCCAAATCAACAGAAGTTGTGGCCAACCTGTCAGCCCAAAGCAGGATAGGTCCATCAATGGCTATTCGCCAGGATGGGCAGAGATGGTGTCCCTAGCCTCTGTTTGCCAAAAGCTGGGAATGGGCAACAGGGGATGGATCACTTGATAATTACCTGTTCCGTTAATTCCCTCTGGGGCACTTGGCATTGGCCACCTGTAGGTTTCTTGTGTTACAGCTGAATATAATCAAAGCAGCTAAATATACTGAAGATAAACCAGTATATGGGCTACAAGATGCAGGAGGGACTGGACTTCCTGCTCACGAAAGGAGCCCCCCCAAAATGACTTATCTGAGATGATGAGCTTCCAGGCAGGTAGGAAGTGGAACAGGTGGTGTCCAAAAGTTGGAGGGGGGGGGAGAGAAGAGATAACAGAATGGTCCAGCAGAGGAGCTGGAGGGAGAGGTTGTTCGATGCCTTCAACCAGGTTGTCAAAATGGTGGTCTTAGAGGATGGTGATCCCCTTTTCTTGGCTCTGGATCTTCTTCAAGGGTGCTCTATAGATCTGGTGTGCATCTGTTGCAGGTGATACTGGAATGGTCAGGAGAACCGTGTTGTTTGAAACTTGCTGAAATGTCTCTGTTGCAGGTATGTATATCCCCAGCGACTGCAATATTGCCCTCAAATCTTTAAGGGAGTGGAGTGAGGGGTCTGTATCACTGCTAAAGAGCTTTGGCCCTTCAAAGGGGAAGTCTTCTTCAGTATTTTGCACGTCCCTCAGAAGGCCAGAATATTAGAGTCAAGATGCTTGCCGCATAACTACTGTGGTGGGTAAGGATTGCGAAGCCATGTCAGCAGCATTGAGAGTGGCTTGCACAGAGGCTTTGGTGATCAATGGACCCTCCGAAATGAGGACTTGAAATTGTTCCCTTTGCTCTTGCAGCAGTTGTTCAATAAAATGAGTAAACTGTTAATAGCTGTTAAAATAATATTTTGCCATCAAGAACTGGTAGTTCTCAACCTGATATTGTAGAGCTGCTGACAAATACCATTTCCTATCCAGGAGATCTAGGTCATGAGAGGAAGGGGAGGTTCTTGGAAGGGGAGGCTCTGGAGAGTGCTTGATGATTTCTTTTGTTGAACACATCTATCACCAGGGAGTTGGGGGTGGGATGGAAGTAGTAGTACTCTATTCCTTTGGCTGGACTGTAATAGTTTTTATCTGACCATTTCCAAGTGGGTGGAATAGTGGCAGGTGTTTGCCAGTATGTGCAGGTGTCAACAGTCTCTCATTGATGGGTAGGGGGATCTTATCCTGGTGAGTAATATGTAAAATGTCCATCAAGGAATGTTAAGACTCCTGGACTTCCTCTAAAAGAATCTGGAGGGATTCTGCCCAATGTTTCATTAAGTCCTGGAAGGCCCT